AAGAGCGTCTATCCAGGCAACTGTGTTGAGATTTACTATTTATTACAGTAACTATAGCAAACAGTGCTCTCCCAACAGTAAGTAATCAAAACGACCTTCAGAACATACTCTACCCCTTGATGGTCTAGTAAATAGATCTAGTCTCTCAAAACAAAAACCTTAGGACCAGCAGCTAGCATAATGGCTATGTCACTGGACTCCCATGTAGTCGACCGCGGTTCGAGTCCCAGACCCAGTGGCTTAAACTCATGCTAGGCGTGTGTGCGTGTGTCCAAGATCCCAAGAGGAGAAGGGATTGCGGCATGGCCATCTCCCCTGGGGGGTGATTTCTCGCTCTCTCTCTGTCTTTCTGGCGAGCGCAAGCACCCTATAGCAACAACCTCTCAAATAAAATCAAAAACCTCTCAATGTCATCATCCAGTTTTTCATCTTGGCAGAGCTCTGGAGGGCTAATTAACTGTTTCCACACAATCAAGTCAATGGTGTCTTTGCCTATGGAGAATGACCGTCTTCCAGGTTCTGTATAATTGGCCTGTGATTGCATTCATGTACACCTACTCCTAGATCTGGCCACGTGGCTCAGGACCACTGACAGCCACCACTAGCTATGTACCAGTGTATAACTAGTCTCTTTGCAGTTTATTCTTATTTATTTGTTCCATGAGAGAGGAAGACAGAGAAAGAGAGATAAGCACCTCCAACAGGGTCTTCACACTGCAGTCCTACCCCGAGCCTCAGCCAGCCCAGGTCACGGGCACCCAGATGTCCCAAGAATGCAGAGAGAGACCTCAGGACGCAAACCTGAAGTCCTTCTCCCTTGGCCACAGTATCATGGAACACTGTATTACCACCGTGCCACTGTGGCTGGCTATAATCGGACTTTTAAGCGTGGCTGAGCATAACTGCTGTTGCCCTGGCCCACTTCCTGCTCCGAGTGTTCCAAATTTACATAGCCCACACAGCCCACCACCGAGCTGGGAGGACAGCTCAGTGGACATGTGCCTTACGAGAAACAGTGGGAGGAAGCCAGGAGTAGGAGGGGCCGAGCCCTAGGAGAGAACTGATGGGTTCTCTGACACTAGCTAGAAACGCATGAGGAGAACTTAGAGGGTCCCTTGGATATGCCAGTTCCCCACCTTTCGTTACAGAATCTGACAGCTCTGCTTTTACACGTTTTCTGAAAAAACTGGAGACGAGCCCTCCTTTAAGATTACACTACATGGGACCAGCAGTTAGCATAATGGCTATGTCACTGAACTCCCATGTAGTCGACTGAGGTTCGAGTCCTGGACCCGGTGGCTTAAACTCACGCCGGGCGCGTGTGCATGCATGCCCAAGATCCCGAGAGGAGAATGGAAAAGAAGGGACTGCAGCATGGCCATCCCCCCTGGAGGGTGATTTCTCACTTTCTGTCTCTCTGTCTCTTCCGGCAAGCACACGCACCCTATAGTAAAAAACTCTCAAAAAACAAACAAAAAAAAAAGGTTACACTCCAAATTGTTCAGAGCAGAAACAGAACTGCTTGTAGAGGTTACGTCTAAAGAGCAGGATGGAAGTGAGGGGTGAATGGGTTATGATAGCGACTTTTGCCTTTTTAAACCCTAGGCTTGTACTGCTTGAGTTTGGCTTTGTTTTTTAAAGAACATGTCCTCCTAAAAGGGGAGGAAATCCCTTTGCTGAGTCCGAATCATACCTACATGTGTCTGGAGACCACCATCTAACCCTGGAGAGTCGGCTCTTGTGGGCTTCCCCCATCTTTTTGACCCAACCCTGATCTGACCATGTCTTCCAGACTGAAGGCAGTGACTGTGAATGCAACCCTCCTGGGAAGAACTTTCTAGAAAACCAAATCCTGATCAAGCGCATGATGATTAAGTGTGCTGACGTGGCCAACCCATGCCGCCCCCTGGACCTGTGCATCGAGTGGGCCGGGAGGATCTCCGAGGAGTACTTTGCTCAGGTGCGCTGCCTCTGGGGAAGCTCCCCTTCCCTATGGGAAGCCTGGGTCACAGAACTCTCCCACCCAGTAACTTTTTATCAGTCGGTGAACTACTTCTCCCTGAAAGGAAAGGGTTCCCTTCTGCCTGGAGCACACCTACCATCCCCTCAGGGACTGGGCGATATGGCTGGTCACTAACCAAGGCCTCTCTAGCAGAAGGGGAATAAACTGAGCTTTGAGAAGTCACTTTTCATCTTCAAATTGGTGAATCCTGAACTTCCACAAAAACTGGGAATTCCTTCATTTATAGGCTATGACCAAGTGCCTCTGTGATGCATTATGGGAACACAGACATGAGTAAGACACATGGCAGCCACAGGGAGCTCCCCACCCAGCAGGGGAGAGATGTGAACATACGACAGTCTCGCATGTGGGTGAGAAGTGAAAAGTGTGTCTACAGTGAAGTACATGGGCAGTGCTACAGAAAGATTTGTCTCTAGATAAAAGTGATGTTCAAGCTGTTGGGTTTTTTTTTTTAAGATTTAGAAATGCAGAATTAGAAACTAAGACTCTCTGGAATTAATGAGAAGGGAAATTAGAAATTTTGCATCAGGAGAGCAGCGATATGTGGTTTACTTGAATAATGGCAATGTAAAGAGAAGTTAAAGGGGAAAAACCCAAAAAGCAGTAGACTGCAAAATGCCATTTGTGGGGCTGGCATGGTGGTCAAAGGCACTGGACTCCCACATGGCTGACCATGGTTCGAGTTCCAGACCTGGTGACTTGCTTTCTTACTTTCCCTCTCTCTTTCTCTGTCACTCTCTGGTCACATTAAAATAAATAGATAAAGGGACTAGCAGTTAGTGTAATGGCTATGTCGCTGGACTCCCATGTAGTCGACCGCAGTTCACATCCTGGACCCGGTGGCTTAAAACTCACGCCGGGCGCGTGTGCGTGTGTGCCCAAGATCCCGAGAGGAGAATGGAGGAGAAGGGATTATGGTGTGGCCATCCCCCCTGGGGGGTTTCTCGTTTTCTGTCTCTCTGACTCTCTCTGTCTGGTGAGCGCATGTGCTCTATAGCAAAAGCCTCTCCCCCCCCCAAAAAAAAAGAATAGCTGGAGGGGGGCATGGCCAACAGAGGTCCCAGTACATTAACTGCCCCTTCAAGGGTGGGAAGAAAGCCCCTGGATTAAAGGAGGACAGGCACTTCTGAGCTTGCCAGACAGAAAAGGAAGGCAGGACCAAACTACTTGAATACCACTGGATATTTTAAGACCATTTGACCAACTAACCTGCAGCAAGCAAGCTGAGCCCAAAGTTGCCAGGAGGCCATGAATAGGCCTCTCAGGTCCTACAGGGGACTGAGTCCTTCTCCAGTTGTTCTCCAAGAGAATGGAGAATGGGAAAGGATCACTCTTAAGTCCTTTGACGTAGCTTCCTGTTTAGGTATCCTCGCCTCAGAAAGGAATGTTCTGATGTTCACCAGTCAGTGTGACTGAAAATCCAAAGTTACACTGGAGGCCTCTGGCTCAGTTCTCCACCAGGCCATGTGGATGTTCAGGTCTAGCTCGGTGACCTGACGCCGTACACTTGCACATACACTTTAATGTCCACACTGCTCAGATCTCTGCTCCAAAGCTCAGCCTCTGGAGTTTGGCCGTCAGTGACTGTTTCCGGTGAAGTCTGCGCTCCATGGGAGAAGCGGCTAGTTCGACTCACTAGAAGGGCTTCTTCACGATGCCCGTCCGAGGCTGGCAGGCAGCACCGTGCTTAAGGCGTACTTCCCACTTTGTCACACAGGACGTTGGAAAGACGTCTACCCAACGGTCGACACTCCACAAAGCTAATCATTCTTACTGCTCCAAAGGTCATTCTTACTTGTTTAACTTAAACCTACAAACACACAGCAGCGAGTAATACAGTGACAGTTTGGTGCCGGCTCCTTGATTCATGCTGAGGTGCCCGCAGCTCTGACCAGCACTGCTTCTGTACCCGCAGTGTAAATGCGATCAGTAGTACTGATATAGGTGACAATAGTTTTGACCTTGCCACACTGAAAACAGATCACAGAAAAGGCACTGTGTTCCTTGAACCAAGTACTTCAGGAGGAGGGGCAGACTAGCATATAAAAGCACAAGACCTGAGAGTCAAAGTGAGTTCAGCCCTGAGGCCCCACTGGCAGCTGGCTCACGTAAGTCGCAGGGTCCACGGAGCCTCTGTCTTCATAGCTAACGCAGGATGAGTGCTCATTGGTTCTGAGAAATCAGATGCTACTGTGGAAGCTGCTCATGTGCCCTATGGCCCTGTGTGGTGGTTTTTCTTACAGACTGATGAAGAGAAGAGGCAAGGGCTACCTGTGGTGATGCCAGTATTTGACCGGAACACCTGCAGTATCCCCAAGTCCCAGATCTCCTTCATCGACTACTTCATAACAGACATGTTTGATGCTTGGGATGGTGAGACAGCTACTGTTTTATCACCCACAAAAGAACATTTTGTTGTACTGTATGATGATTACATTCGATGACATAGGCTGGGCCTACGAGTAAATGAAATATAATTTAAAAAGTTATGACTAGCCCCGTGGCCTAGTGGTTAAGGGAGCCAGGATCCCACATAGGCAACTGCAGTTTGAATCTTGGCCCCGGGGGGCTTGAGAAACACATCAGGCATGTGTGCACGTAGGCCCCAAATCCCAACAGTATGGAAAATATGGAGAAGGAATTGTGGCATGACCACGCTCCTTTGGGAAGTGCCTTCTCCCTATCTCCTGTCTTTCTCTGGAGAGTGCATGTGCCCTCTGGCAATTGAGAAAGGCGGGAAGAGAGGGAGGGAGGGAAAGAAAAGAGCTGTCAGCCATTTGCGGCCAGGTGGGGCAGAGTGCTGCTGTACCTTCCGCATCCCCAGCACCTGGCACAAAACCCTGTGCACCGAAGACTCAGTGGACTCTGGTGACTGAATAAACGAGTCTCCACATCTTCAAAGGACAGATTCCAAAGCTTACAGCAGTTTGAGTCAGTCACTGGAGGAAAGTCAAGAGAGAATGTAAAATGTACTGAGTCTACTCTGAATCCTAGGTCGTTTCGATACTGTCACTGATAAACGGCTTTTCCATTTTTAATTAAGAGGAATAACCTTGTCTTTCAGAAACTAGTGTTTCCTGCCTTGTCCTTCTCGTGCAGGGTGATCACTTGCAGCCTGAGGCCTAGCCCAGTGTGCCTCTACTCCAGCTCTGATCCCAGATAGCCCCAGCCTTACGCATGTTCCTGGAATCTAATTCAACCCGTTTCTTTCTCTTCTTTCATGTCCTTGCAGCCTTTGCACATCTGCCAGCCCTGATGCAACATTTGGCCAACAACTACAAGCACTGGAAGACGTTAGACGACCAAAAGTGCAAAAGTCTGAGGCTTCCGTCGGACAGCTGAAGCCAAGCCAGAGAGGGGGCCCTCTTGATACAAAGGGCACTGTGAACCACAGCAGTATAAACAAGAGGCTTTCCTTTATAACGAAAAGGACAGGTGTCGGTTAGGAGCTAATGTCTAATATTTGACCCTGAATTATTCAAGTCTCCAAATTTCATTTTTAGAAAGTTACATCCCATGAAGAAAAAATGTAAGTTCCTTTGCACAATCACTCAATGACAGAACAAATGCTTGGCCAACTCCTTTGCTCTGCTGTCACCCTGTATGCCCCTGTCAAACCACGGAGGTGACTCACTGTAACTCACAGGGCACAAGAAGCAAAGCCTGGGTGCCTGTGAGCCCATGCCTCTGGACGGTGACCACGTAGCTAAGCCGGTGTTCAGCTCATCTCTTACTGTCCCTGTTTAGCTTGATGACTTTCGTCAACAGCGTCAACCTGAAGGCCTCATAACATGCTTATCTCACAGGTATATCTAAGGAAACCACTACATAAAGTGAGCAAAACAACTAGGACCAAATTACTGATAAACTAGTTAGTGTCACGGCCTCAGTGGCTAGGTGGTTCTTCTGGTTCAGGTGTGACACCCAAATTAGAACACAGCTTTGGCCTGGGAGTGCCCACTCTCGCCTGGAATCAGCAGCCTGTGCAGCCCTCGTTCCTGTAAAAAGGGTTCATCTTAACAAAAAGCCATCCGTGATGGGGGATGGAGTGGCTTGTTTTGGGGGAATCCATGAGCTCCCTTATTTCTGGTTCACAGAGGCAGCCACAAGGCACCATACTGAGTATTACAGAAAAGCCATTAAATCCGAATGCCCTTGGACAAGCTTTTTTTTAAAAAAAAAGAGAAAAATTTATATACATGTGCTGTTTAAAATTTTTATTAAAAGACTCTAAATTTTCTGGGTGTGAGCCCATGGAGTATGTTGTGCCGTGCACCACCTAAACGTATGTATTTGGGGAGGGGGTGGGGAGGTTTCAAGGGTCCAATATTTTTAACTTATCTATATTTGAGACCATGCCATTTGCTTTAATGATGTAAAAAAATATATATATATCACAAGATGTGTAAATATAGCAGAACATAGGCATATGGGGAAGCAGTAAATACTCTTTTCAGCTATTAATTGTATGCTAAAAGCTTCTAAAGCACAAGTGCATATTTTTATACAGCTCTTTTCACAACTCCGTGATCCACATAAAGTCAGAATTGAGATTTTCCTTTTTCTCTTACCAGCTAACCCTTCTCTATATATTAAAATATTAGAAACTTAGGAAACAAAATACCTGAGTTTTTCTTTCTCTGTATTTCATGCTGCATTTTTAAAAGGTATAAACAGAGACAGAATTAATTGAATTAGCAGCTAATTACTTTTTTTTCAAATGAAAATTGGAATGAAGAACTCTTGGAAATGGTACCTGGGAAGACAAAAAGGACTTATCACTATATGATGTGCCAATGGTTTTTTTTTTCTATGTTTTGTATCAAAAATGGAAACATATATGACAATTCCATGCACAGAAATGTATCTAAATTATTTTTGTTAGATGATAAGAAAACTTGCTTGGTCTGGCCAGCAGCCAGCTTTGTATTGCAACGCTACATTATGTAAATGTGATGAAAATGTTTTTGTGAAGTACTTGTAACTAAATTCCTACAGCCATTTTTCATTCCCAACAGCTGTTTTTATTTTATCTCTTTGGCCTAAATTTTTCATAATTTCAAACTTTTGGTTTAGTGTCCTTTATTTCTTGAGTCACATTTAGTTTGCAGAACATATTAAAACTAGGGTATCAAAATCCCATGTTAAGGAGGTAACTATAATAATTTGCCTATGCTTCGGATGCTTGCTTGAAGCTAGGACTTTTCTGACTAGCTCAATTTCATTCCATTTGATGAGTAACGTTTATCAAGTGTCTAGCATTTTTCTATATGAAACATTACAGCTTCCTCAGTGTTATGTCAAACTAAGTCCATGTCCACTGCAAACTATAAATTTGTGTGTGAATGCTGAATGCTTCAGGGCAGTCAGAGTAAAGCTTCAGCACGCTCTGCTCTGGGTCAGCTAACCCACTAGTGGGATCTTTTGAGTTGCTAACTCAGGCATTCTTTCCAACTATTGCTATTATTGCTAGCCAGAGGAAAGACATTAGCTGTAAAGCATTGTTACTTGAACCAGAATTATCCTATAGTTTCACAAAGTCATTCTCTAAACTTCCAAGTTCAGATTCTGACATTTGCTTGCCCTGAGTCAGGACTGGTGCCTTCTTTTCAAAGAGCAAGCCCCATCAGTTCAGTTAGAACCAACTGAACTTCAGAGAGAGAAATGGAAGAGATGGCCCAATGCTCTTGTGTTCCGTGAATATAGCCAGACACTGAGGTAATAACGGTATTTTACAAGACAGATGTCTAGGCACACTGCCTGGTGTTACTTCTGGTGCTATAAATTTCTGTGGAAAGCTAAGCTACAGAAACAGAAAAGAAATGCACAAAATATATGTGGACATTAATGAAAATTGTATTTTTCTAAACTGTAGGTTCAGCTTTTATCAGTATCTACATGCAACTACTGAGAAGTCATTAGGTTTGAGTCTCTACCAAAACCGCCCCTCATGCTGTCATCTTCTCTCTGACCTTAAGGCACCCATGAAGACCAGAGCCATGCAGTCTGCTGACTGTGTTGGAGACTGCCTTCTGTGCACATTGAGTCTCTACCAAAACCACCCCTCATGCTGTCATCTTCTCTCTGACCTTAAGTCTCCCATGAAGACCAGAGCCATGCAGTCTGCTGACTGTTGGAGACTGCCCACTGTGCACATTAATTTCTCCTGGGGCAGAACTAACTAGAATATAATTTAGAAGGGATTTACTGTGGTACTCACGGTACCATTTGTCCCAAAATGCCCATGTGGTTTCTATAGCCATTTGGATAGATTACTCTCTCTCTCTCTTTATATAGGCCATACTGCAATCCTTTCTCCTCCGTTCTCTTCAGGATTTTGAGAACACAAACACATGTACCCGGTGTGAGTTGTTTTTCTTTTTCAAGAATTATTTATTTATTTATTTAATTTGACAAGAGAGAGAAGAGGGAAAGTGAGAAAGCAAGCTGCCAGGTCTGGATTTGAACTGTGGTTGGCCATATGGGAGTCCAGCGCCCTTAGCCACCTGCCGGCCCCGGTGTGAGCTTTTTTAAGCTGCTGGATCTGGGACTTGAACCATAGTCGACTGACTATGTGGGAATCCAGTGGCGTAACCATTACACCATCTGCTGATCCTACTATCACAAAATATTAACCCAGAACAGGTTAGGAAATAAAGCAGTTAAAAATAACTTATGACCTAGTATAGAATTTCCAAAGGGGGAGAAAAAAAAAGAAAAATCCAGCTAGCCAGCTAGTAATGGGAGGAAGTCTTATCTACAGAAGAAAATTAAAAGCCCCAAATTACTCTGAGAGCATGGTCCAACTGGCCAACAAGCGGACATGCCCAGACCAGGCTGCACTGCTGCCAGCTTTAGGGATACCAGCCATGCTCCAGTATTAGGAGGAAAAACTAGAAAGCTGTCTGTGGGCGATTCCTCAAACATGCCACAAAAACAGTTTGTTGGCTAAGCAGCAGTACGCATTTTCCCACTTGTAGTCTCCAAAATAGAGATAGCTTAAATGTTAGTATGTCTCTGTGCAGCTATTTTCACTGTGAATTAAAACAGCAATAACAACTACGAATATTATTTGGCTTTCCTCAAGTGGTAGTCATAGTCATATAAACCTCTATCTTTCTTTCCAGTTCTCTTCAATCCCTGTTTTTAAGGCCACTTGGTGATGGTAATGGTACCGCGAAGCTAACTGCAAGGCCTTATCTCACTGTGCCTTGGTGTCCCCATTTATAACACCGTGCCACTGCTACCCAGTGGCAGTCTCTGTCCTCCAGTCCGCTGTCTGACTGTAGACAGTCGTAGGAGCAACTGCAAAGGTAAAACTAGTGAAAACAAGAATCTAGAGAGTTCACCGAGGGTGTATGTGTAATGAATGTATCAGTCTGCTCAAAGTGTTGAGAAGGGTCAGTCCTCTCATATATCAGTCAAGTGAATGCCCTTTCTTTAACAGGATTCCTTAGCCACTTTAAATGCAAGAAGAATCCCATTATTAAATCCACCCAATCGTTAACATGTAAAATACTTTTTTTTTGTACCAAAAGGTAGGAACAATATTCTGTTATAAGGCTAGTGGGATAATGAAGATGACTGAAACTTAATGAACACCACAAGGAACTACTACTGGGTTACTGGAAGAGTCATGACATACGTTTTTCTAGGCAAAAATGTGCATGGACGCTTTCTCAAGCATGCACACTGGTGTTGGTGGTCAGCTGGATCAGGCACTCCGGGATGCACGGCTGACTTTGGAAACACTGTGGCTCTTTACTAGTCAAGCACTCAACCTGGAGTACATGAGGGGCAGCTGCTGTCCTACTACCAACCCTGCCAACAATGGCCGATTCAAGCCAGTTCTCACTGGGAAAAACATATCCTCCTAAGATTTCTGCTAATTTGAGTTCATAGGGATTTTAATAGCTAGAGCAAAAAAATAAATAAATAAAATTGTACACACACACACATATATATATATATATTTTAGTTCTAGCTATTAAAATTTTTAAAAAGGATACACACACACTTAAATTATTTGATACCAAAAAAAAAGGGCATTGAATTTACATAGTATTATTAGTTCATTTTTTGGTTGAGAGATGCAGGTTTGCTCCTCATAATACTGACAGTTACTAAACAGAAATTCGTAGGGGAAATGATATGTCTTAAATTTATCACAAGAATTCTTAATTAAACAAGCTCAAAGGGAAAATAAGAATTAAACAAAAGCTTTCTATGAAAAACACACTTTACTGCTACTTCTGTTGTTTCACCGCTTCACAGGGGTCTAGGTTCAAAGTAAGACCCTCCGAGACATCACTCACCACTCTGACAGCAACACAGAGTCGACTGGGAAACGTGGTATGTTCTCTGGTAGATGTACTAATACCTGCGGATCAACTGGTTGCTGATTTGTAGACCCGCAAAAAAGAATGCAGAAGTACAGAATTTTGTAAGATGAGAAAAATAATTACAAATTTAAGTGAGCAACACATGAATGATTTCACAATTTTACTCTCTATTTGCTATTCAAAGTTCATGTGTAAGGTTCTCACTCCTTAAACAGTAAAGTATAAGTCACCATTCTCCTCTAATTTTTGAAATAATTTTAAACTGCGCAATCCAGATTCTCGTTCTCCATTTTTCCACAAAATAATGAGATGATCTGCAGAGCATGTCACTAGTCCATGATCTTCAAAGTATAGAAACATCTGTAAAGAAAATGAAAACTACTGAGTATAGGAACCTCAAGAAGAGAAGAGCCTAACAGATTAACACGTGTGCTTGTAAGATGTGAACCTTCGAAACATCTTTGATTCTGAATGTAAAACTCTTTTTAAGTGTTGGTAACAGTCTGCTATCGAACATCTTAATAATCGGAACTTTGTTGATAATGCTCAACTATAAAATAATTAAGTACTAGCTACATATAGAGAGAGTACATGAATTCCCAAATAATAATAGCTAATTCTTCAAGTCTTTTTCATTAATATTTTTGCCTCATAGGCCCAGCAGATGGTGTAAAGACTACATTGCTGGACTCCCACGTAGTTGACAGTGATTTGAGTCCCTGACCCGATAGCTTAAAATTCATGCCAGCCACATACACATGCGTGCCCAAAATCCTGAGAGGAGAATGGAGGAGAAGGGACTGCGGTGTGGCCATTCCCCCACCCCACCGGGGTGGGGGGGGGGGTTTTTCTTGCTTTCCCTATCCCTGCCTCTGTCTCTCAGGTGAGCACACACGCCCTACAAAAAAAAAAAAAAAACAACTCTCTAAAAGAATATTTTTGCCACAGGACACATGTGCTCACTTTAGAGAGACAGTGAGAGAGGGAAAGTATGAAATCACCCCCTAAAGGGATGGCCACACCACAATCCCTTCTCCACCATTCTTCTCTCAGGATTTTGGGCACACATGCACATGCATGCAGCATATTTTACGAGCCACTGAGTTCAGGACTTGAACTGTAGAGCTGGCCATGTGGGATTCAGTGCCTAACAACCATGCCACCTGATGGCCTCAAATATTGGTTTTAAGATTTTGTAAGATATATTTTGTAAGATATGTCTTCTGTAAGATACAGGTCTTGCTTTAATCAGATTCAGTGCCTAACAACCATGCCACCTGATGGCCCCAAATATTGGTTTTAAGATTTTGTAAGATATAGGTGCTGCCCCACCTATGTCTTCTGTAAGATACAGGTCTTACTTTAATCATTATTCACAAATGGCTCTTGTTAAAAAATGCCTAAATTCCAAATTTCCCAATAAACACGGGCTTCTGCTCTCTATGTAAAAGTAGACCTAATAAGCATTTACTGAGTGTCTGCTCTACATCTATGATCCCTACCCTCAAGAAGGTTCTGTTCAGTTGCACAACCAAATCACAGCTGAAATGGCACTAATGAAGGACTACGTAATCAAGGGCCGAATGACACAGTGCAGACTACAACGTGCCATCGAAATTTAAAACAGGAAGACTGGTCAGTAACCACTGAAGTTGTCAGAGAAAGCTTTGACCAGAGAACACTCTCCAAGTAAAGGAAAGGAACAGTCTGGAAATTCAGAGTAAGAAAATGAATGGGTGTTGGTGACAAGGTGGTGTGACCTACTCTGGAGTGCAGAGCTGGCATCTGAAAGGAGATAGATAAACCCATGCAAACAAAGAAGGCCTTGAAGGAAAGAGCAAATTAAAGGAGACGGAGTATCAAGGAACAAGAGGAGGAGCGTTTTCTCTGAAATGATGTACGCATTCTGAAAAGAGTGGAAAAAGGCCACGGGGGGACTCAGCTGATGATGAGGGAGGGAAATGTGGAAGCAGAATGCCTCAGGTCATGGGGTAAACAATTCAGTACACAGAGGGGTTGAGTCAGAGAGCATGGATAAAAACAGAAATAAAAAAAACCTAGGAGACGGCACCTAAAACATAGCCTAGATTTTATGAATCAAGCCAGAGATACTTTTTAAAAATGTTAAAAGTGTCAGTACTTTAAGTAAAATTCCTAAGAATCTGACAGTTTTACATTATGACAAATGTGCCATTTTGATAGTTTTCTCCATCATTTTAAAACCTTTAGTGAGTCCTTACTGTTTATGAATCAAGCCAGAGATACTTTTTAAAAATGTTAAAAGTGTCAGTACTTTAAGTAAAATTCCTAAGAATCTGACAGTTTTACATTATGACAAATGTGCCATTTTGATCGTTTTCTCCAACCTTTAGTGAGTTCTTACTGTTTAAAAATAAAATCCAAACTATTCAACATTATACTCAAGGACATTCAGACCCAAGACCACCTTCCCAGACCTTCCCTGCTAGAGTCTGTTCACAGGAACCCAGAGCTCCAGCCTAGCCAATCTGTGCCTTGCACCAAGCAATGTATCTTTCCACGCCACAGTCCAGCTCGTCATTCTAAACGACACTACGGCCACCCAAGCAAAAAGAAAGCTTAAAAACAAGAAAGAAAACAACTGAACTAATTGTTAGAGGAAAGCAAAGATGAGCAAGACGCGGTAGCCAACATCCAGGAGCTGACAGTAACAAGGCTATGTATTAATCCTACCTGAACTTCAGAGTTCAGCCCCAGTCTCAACACTCATATCACTAACCAGCTGACAGGATTCAGCAAGAAAAGTTTCTTCCAACTCCTTAGTGTTCACCTGCTACCCCTATGGCCTACCATCAGCCTAGACTAACAGCTTAGCAGGTCTGTATGCTCTCTCTCCCCCACAGTGTGAGACCCGTGAGGGCAAGGACTGTCCTTCGTATCTCCTTGCAACTCCGGCATCCAGTGTCTAGGTCCTGAAACACAGGAAATGCTCAATAACCAGGGGCTGCTGCCGCTCCTAAGCCTGAATGGCCTTCCAAATGAAGGTAGTGTGTTCCTCTCTGGGTAGGAAACAGGGAAGAACAATTTAAGAAATTCATCACTTTGGGTGCTGCTTAACTGGTATCAGTTCTGACCATCTCCTTCTCCTGACTGATCTTACTCCTTCTTCAAGGTCGTGGATTTCCACAAAATGTTTCATGTATCTTATAATTTTCAGTTAATACTTTCATATAAGCATAATGATAAACAAGACACAGTTTTAATTAAAACTAACCAATTATCCTTCAGAGGCACTAAAAACACCACTCTCTTCATGAATTTGATAAAGGTCTCTGGAATTAAGATTCTGTGACGGCTTCCCCCCTACACACACAACCACAGCTTTCCACGTACCCTCTGCTGCCTACAGTTACACACGTACATTCCACATGATTAACACTGCCCTACTGTCAGCTCTATTTCTTTCTTTTTTTTTTTTTTTTGGTAGAGGTTTTTGCTATAGGGCACGTGCGCTCGCCAGACAGACAGAGAGAGACAGAGAGACAGAAAGCGAGAAATCACCCCCCAGGGGGGATAGCCATGCTGCAATCCCTTCTCCTCCATTCTCCTCTTGGGATCTTGGGCATGCACGCACACGCGCCCGGCGTGAGTTTTAAGCCACCAGGTCAGGGACGCAAACCGCGGTCAACTACATGGGAATCCAGAGACATAGCCATTACGCTAACCGCTGGTCCCCTGTCAGCTCTATTTCATAAATAACAATGGAGATTAAGCCTAGCCTTAAAAGTGATGCTTCCTTGCTTCCTCAAGTCCTGTCTCTATAAAGGGAGACCCTCACTGTACATACTGTTAACATATCCTATCCTACCCCATGTCCAGACACAGCCAAAACCTATAGATCAGAGAGAAGTACAGGTCTTGATGAGACACTGAAGCACAGATATTTCTGAGACCAACTGAATGGGAAGAGGAGCCATACCTCCACAGATGACGAGTGTCCAATCAAATCTCCAATAAGCTCCAGTGAACACGAAGTGACATTTTCTTGTTGCTTTTTAACAGGCTGGTTGGCTTGTTTGTTCACTCTTCCAAATCCCCACATGTTAAAAAAACCTAAAAAACACAACCATTTCAGTCATTTCCAAAACTACTGTACTCTTATAACAATATACATGATCAGAAAAATGGAGAACATTTAAATGCAAATATGCTCCATGCTTCTTTTAGTCAAGGGTTAAATGGATAGTGTGAGGCGCTATGCTAGTCTTTTAAATACATTATTTCATTTCCTTTCCTAGCCAACTAGGTATATTCTTTACCTCTTTTTATCGCCCCTACTAGCACGCAGGTGAAGGGATATTAGCATATAAAAAGACAGGTACCAGGGATAAAAGAGTAGTAGTAAAAGGCCTCAATGGCAGTGTCTAACTATCAAAACAGGGGGCATAACTGTGGCTAATCCATCAATAAAGCACAGAGGAAAAGCTGCAAGTGTAAGTCCAAGAACATACCATAGGCTTTCAGGTAAGTGAAAAAACAAACAAAAAACAGAAGAATCTAAAAGAAACTGATTTTCTATGCAAAGATTGGTAACTAATTCACTCAAACATTCAGTTTTGTTTTTCAAACAAAACACATAAAAGTCAAGAGCTCATGAGATAATAATACCTACACAAAGACAAGGCCAGCTCTGTGGCTTAGAAGGCGCTGCTCAAGAGAAAATGACAGTTTGAATCCCCAGCCCAGACAGCCTAAAATATACCCAGCAGGCATGAAAGTAGCCCGGAGATCATGGGGTGGGCTGGAAGTCCAAAGGAAGGAGATCGCAGTGTGACCAGGCCCTACAGAAGTGCTCAGCTCTTTCTATCTCCCCCGCCACTTGCATGCTCTCTTATCATGAATAACGAAAAATACTTTAAGAACTCAAAAAATACTTAATTTTTTCCAAAAATTAAGTTCAATGTTAATGTTAGTGCTTCAAGGCTAAAGAACACTTCAGTCTGACATCTGCTGGTACAAATTCTGTTTGTGTATCAGTCAGAACTATAGACAACAGGAATAAATAATGCCTTCACTAGACCATGTGGTCCTTCAGATTTCCAGAAAATAACAGTTTTCCCTCAAAACAATAAAATCTCAACTGACCTGAACTAAAATAAAAAGGTAGTTCTAGGGGCCGGCAAGTGGCATGGTGGTTAAAGGCGCTGGACTCCCACATGGCTGACCACGGTTCAAGTCTCGGACCTGGTGGCTTGCTTTCTCACTTCCTCTTTCTCTCTCTCCCTCTGTCTCTCTCTGATCAAACTGGAAAATAATAATGATAATGATAATAAATAAAGTTAAATAAAATAATAATTTTTTTTTTAAAAAGGTAGTTCTAGGGGCCATAGGCTGACCCACGTGGATGGGTGCCGAGTTTATGCCCAGAGACCTCTCTTGGTATGCTGGGCACATGTTTCCATGATCTGGAGCTGGCTAAGGCTGCAGGTAGATTATGGAATGAAGACCCTGCTGGGGGTGCTGTTTCTTCCCCTGCCTTCTCTGTCTCTCCCACTCATAGAACGAACCTTTTGTAAAGAGCCCAGTCACCACATGCCTCCTATAAACACCGGATGCCTATTTGGAGCACATCCTATATTACTCTCGTCGTTACACAAAACCTCCTTTTTTCTGACTTCCACGTGAAAACAAGGACAGAGAGAGAAAGACACACATACCTGTTGGTACTGGTTCAGCTGCAAGCTGCTGTTTTTCTCGTAACTCCCAAATGCGTACACTGCCATCTTCTGAGCATGAGATTAACTGCCTGTCAGAAGAGAAAATCAGTACTACCAAGACAGAGAGCACCAAAGAGGGCCAGTGCTAAATGTCTACTGCAAGAATCACTGGCGCCCTCAACTGTGTTTACTTCTTCTCAGGATAAAAGCCATAATTTAACATGGTTTTATAATGCAAACGAAAAGCACCACTCTTCGTGAAGGGCATACATTACACTATGTGACATTCAGAAAACAGGGTATGAATCACACTCCCCAATATCTTAAGCAGCCCTTTTCCCTTTCCTCACTATGCATCTTCTCAGAGTGCTTCTAATCCTGAAAAAAATCCCGCAGATAAAATAATGCTACTCCTTCCCATAATTCCACCCCTAGAAACTCAGCAGCTAGATCTACCCAAGAGGAAAACCTTCCTCTTTGATTCTGGCTATAAACAAACAACAAAAACACAGGTTTGTAGAAAATACGGGAAGAGAAATTAGCATATTACAAGTGCCCAAAGTCTTTTACCTTATTAAATATATATCAGATATATTAAATCACCCCTGCCTACAATGAAATTCAATGTAATTCATTTGAACCTTGCTTCTTGTAAATTCTGTAATATACTGTCACCAATTCTTCTGTCACAGACAGCCACAGGGCAGTCTTCATTTCCAAAAGAACAAGCAGGTCAAGCCACAGAGCCAGGTAACTTGGCCACTTCATAAATTAATCTGGTAGCCCCAGGAACCATGACTTTCTTTCATCTATTACAGCACAGATGGGGTCTTGTACCTGTTTGGAAGTTTGGCAATGTGCAGGACACTGGAGTCATGTGCAGTTTTCTGGCAGGCAATCACACGCTTCATTTGAAGGCTATACACATATAAACCCCTTCCAACTGCAGCAAATACGTTCTGGAGAGGGAAAAGTTCAGAAATGGGTATAAAACTAGTGCTCGCCACTACCAGGTATAATAGATTTCCAACACGCTTGTGACATCAGAAAACCATTATCACTTTCCCTATTACGAGCCTTCGGCCCAAATTATTATCCTGCCCTCTGAAGTCCAAAAATATGAAAGCGCCAAGAAAAGATCAGAGCATTTATAAGGTAGGATGAAACCACTAATGTCGAGAAAGCTCCACATCTTATACCCCTGAGTGTCACTTTATTACTTGCTGAAATATGACAGTGAGAGAAAGGAGCTAAGGCTGGCAGTCTGGCCCTGCAGCAGAAGCTGCTGAGATAAACAACCTGGATTTTCATTCACTATCTCCTGGAGAAAATTACCTAGCTTCTTTTGCCTGGAAAATGCGAGCAAAATTACTTGCACTCCACATCTTAAGTAATCAAGAGACCTATGAATGATACAAAAAAGTATATTCTGTAGTTGTACTATCCTCGTAAGATTCTCTAAAGGCTTCATGAACACATTTTTGCAAATGTAGTATTAGAAACACCTTTTTACAAAAATAACTTTAGTCTTCTGAAGTATATTTATGTATCTTACTACAGTCTTATAATACCTTAAGGTAGAAAAGGTAAGCATTTATTGCCATTTTGCAAATGCACAAGTTAAAACCAAAAAGCATTTAAGTGAAAAAGAAATCAGACATAGAGTCAGTATTAGAATCAAAGTTGTAGGACTCCTGTCCCTTGCTCTTTCCTCATACCATACACCTCACTTCTGAAACTATTCTGCATTATTAGACTTCTAGTAGTACTTGTTTTAGGTTCATTAATTCTCACTCAGAAGATGCCCCATGAGGCAGACCTTTAAACGATCTACAACTTGCTCTCCTGTTCTCACCAAAGGCCCCAGGGACCTCCAATCTTTCTCACAAGATCTCAAAAACTGCTACACACCCAATTTAGATCTACACTCTCTGAACCAAAACAGGTTTGCCAGAGTCTAAATCTGGAATGATGCCCTTGACTCCCAGGAGTGGTCCTTTGTACCGTGACACAGGTTGAGGACCAGCCAGGGCCATTAATGAAAACAGCCAGTATGCTAAAATCTAGAGCCCTAGGGACTACCTTCAGTGCAAATCTCCAGAAATTAGTTCTAGATGCCAGAAAATCTGTGTATAGTTTAAGTTATTTACACAAGTCACAAGGAAAATTCTAAATACAACTAGAGAACCCATGAGCTTTGGGCAGCACTGACTCAACTAGGATACTCTATCACTTGTCATCAATAATTAATGGTCCTCTCTAGAAGGAAAGAACACCGAACAAAAAAAGAAAAATTAGGAAAACTAAATGTTTTATCAAGCATTTATAATAATTAATATCAATTAGATATTTTAATATTAAAAAAATACAAAATTTTAAAAACATTTTTAAATACTAATTTATACAAAAGTGAGAAAACAGTATAAAATTAAAAATCTACATGTAATTTGGGGGGCTACAACTCTTAAAGATCTAGTTTCCTCCTTTTCTGAAACCATATTGTTATCATAAACATTTAAGATTTTTGTTTTCAAAATAGAGATACAAACAAGCCTAATCTTTGGGTCTATTAACGTTTTTAAAAATCCTGTTCTTGGGACCAAGAGATGACATAATGGTTACGTCACTGGACTCCCACATAGTCGACTGCAGTTCAAGTCCCAGATCCAGTGGCTTAAAACTCATGCCAGGAGCATGTGTGTGCATGCCCAAAATCCCAAGAGGAGGCTGGAGGAGAAGGGGCTGCAGTGTGGCCATCTCTCCTGGGGGTGATTTCTCACTTTCTGTCTCTCTTCCTCTCTCTGTCTCTCTGGTGCGTGCACATGTCTTATAGCAAAAAATCACTTCAGAAAAAAAAAATCCTATTCTTATCCTTTAAAAAAAAAGTCACAAAAAGGGATACAATGGGCTACACTGTACCCCTCCAGTAAAGTACAATACTGCAGAATTATTTTTTTATTTATGTTTTGCCATAGGGCACATGGGCTCACCAGAGACAGAGAGAAGGAAAGTGAGAACTCACCCTCCACCCCAGGGGGTTGGCCATGCTGTAATCCCTTCTCCTCCATTCTCTTCTCAGGATTTTGGGCATGCACGCACATATGTCCAGCATGATTTGCAATCCGCTGGGTCCAGGACTTGAATGGCAGTTAGCGATGTGGCAGTCAGTGCTTAAACCATCGTGCTACCTGCTGGCCCCAACCCTGAGGCTTTAAAAGGAGAGATTTTTTAAGATGATAGCCAAGATTCAATAATCCATTGATATTAAGAGTCAGCCAGGTGGTGCAGTCATTATCAGACTAAACCACGGTGCTGACCACAGGTTCGTATTCGCTGGGTCCGCCTGAAAACATGCCAGGTGCTTGTGCATATCCCCAAGATCTTGAGGAGCCAGAGGGCTGGGGACAGGAGTTTGGCATGATGAGACACTGTCGAGGGTGCTTCTCTTTCCTTCCTCCCTCCACACTCTCTCTCTCTCATGCACATATCTCTATCATGAATAAAATAAACTTAGAAGTCAAGATTAAAATGCCTTTTTAATTAAAGTGCTGTAAGCTTTAAAAAAAAAAAATCAGACTATTTGAAAGCACAACATGAAGCCATGAGAAAATATCTTTTTATTGTCTATCATGAGATTAAAAAACAGAAATTGGGTTTATTTAAAAAGGGAAGTTAAAAGATATTTATCAACTTTTTATTTTTTACCTCTTCATCACATGTGAAATGATGAATAGAAATATCAGTCAGCTTTTGACAGAGCTTTATTTCTTGCTGGGTGTCCAGCTGTGGGGCTGGGTCCCAGAAGTTGCGTTCATAAGCCTGCATGGTCCAGTCCAGGGCATCCCAGATGATCAGCTCTCCAACATGGGAACCGGTGACAAAACTCAAATCTAGGCAAAGGTCACACAGGCCTCAGTACGGATTATTTCATCTAGGCTAAAGGCAAAAAATGAATGAACTGCCTACTAGCAATGCTCTATAAAACCACAGTAATTAGAACAGTGAAATATCTAGGCAAGTCGCAAGAATGAAAAGACTACAAATAAAATGCAGTTTACTTTGTTATTTAATATGTGACAATGATTGTGTTTCACTTCACTAAAGAAATAAATACCTCGTGCTCAAGATAAAAACTGACTAAGTTTTAGGGGAGTATAAACGTAAGAGCCTTACCTGGAATCCTATACCAAAAATGTTTCAAATAGATGACAATATTAAAAGTACTTAAATGACTGGGGCCGACAGTTGGTATGGTGGTTAAGATGACTAGACTCCCCCATGGCTGACCACAGTTCAAGTCCTGGACCTGGCAGCTTGCTTTTTCACTTTCCCTCTTTGTCTCTCTCTGGTCAGCTTTAAAAATGTAAAATAAAATAATAACAATGAATAAAATAAAATAATTATTTTAAAAAGTATTTAAAGTACTGAAAAAATAAAGTTGAATATTTTAAGGAATATGGAATGATCAAGGGCACTTAAGAAAATGGGGGGGGGGTGTACAGCAGGTGGAATGGTGGTTAAGGCACTGGATTTCCCTTCCTACATGGCCAACCATGGTTCAAGTCCCAGACCTGGCAGCTTGCTTTCTCACTTTCCTCTTTTATCTCTCTCACGCTTTCTTTCCCTGGTGAGCACATGTGCCCTAGAGCAAAATTTAAAAATAACAATAATGATCAAATTAAACAAATAATTCTTTAACAAAAAAGATAAAGGGGAGAAGAGAAAGATCTGAGGAAAAATTTGCAACTTAGTTGTCAAAATGTGTTCATTATACTTGATGCATAGGTTGTATTTGGAAATCACTAAGAACTATCAATAGATAGAAGAAAAAAATGGGCAAAAGACCTGAAAGAGCAAAACAAAAAACATAAATGATCCAAGAACATATAAAATGATGTTCCACTCCTTTAATAATCAAAGAAATCCAAACGTAATGAGATATCATTTATTTACTGGCAAATTGGGAAGATTATAAAACAAGAAACTGCCCAATGCCAGCAAAAGCAGAGACAATTAGCATGTTCACACACTGCTAATATCCCGGTATAATCTGGTGTAGCCTTCTCAAAGATTAATTGGTAATATGCAGCAAAATGTTTTAAAAAATGTAAACCTCTTGCTCTAACAATTCCACTTCTAGGAATTTATCCTTTGGGAAACGCATAAAGACATACACAGGATGCTGTTATACATAATCTGAAAAATGTGAAGATAACCTAGACATCTAATTGAAGATTGAATAAATATTAAGACATGCACAAAGAGAAACGGTAATGCTGTTACCAGATATTAAGTTGTTAAAGTATGTTTAATTGATATGGAAATGTATTCATGATATACTATTTTCAAAACAATAAGCCATATGCACAGGTACACGCACACATCCACCCAGAAAAACACCTGTAAGGATGTGGCCTGATGTATAACACTGAGTGGTGGGACAATTTTAATATTTTTTAATGTTTCTCGCTATTTTCTAATTTTTCTTCTATGTATAATTTGTTTACAAATAAGTCTTTAAAACTTTCAAAGAATATAAAATTAATAGTTCTAAACACTTTAACTATTATATGTTTAATAGAAAGCATACACTGCTAGACTAAAAATTATCTTTAAAAAATATAATTTATTTTAATTCTTATATATTGAGCATAAAACATAACAGAACAATGCACTGAGTCCAGAAACCTAAGTTCTAATTTCGACTCTGCCTGTTACTAAACTGGGGGTCATTATGAAGTCATTTAACCCTTCTTTATCTTAGATTCCACATGCATTAACTGAGGATGACTGTATTAGATCGTTGGGAAAGTCATGATGTATTTTTCTGTTTTTCTATGTGCAAATGCATCATGACTTTCCCAATGACGCAATAAAAATCAAATTTAAATAACAGAGTCAGTCTCATAGCCTGATGGTTAAGGGAAGCTGGATCCCACCTAGCCTACCACAGCTCAAATCCCAACCCCAGTGGCCTGACAAATATTCTGTGCCTGCCCGAAATCTTGACAAGATGGAGATATGGAAGAGAAAGAATTGCAGTGCGACCACACCCTACTAGGGGTGCTTTCTTCCTCTCCCTCTCTCTCTGGTGAGCACACATGCCTTTCGGTAACCAAAGAAAACAAATGAGGAGGAGAAATGTATAGCCATTTTAAAAAAAAACACCAAATGTTATGCTTGAATCACTATATTATTTTTGAGCCCCTAATATTCTACATTAATGATCTAAAAACATTCAGTTATTTGTAATTTAGCACTACATAGCTGAGTAATTATGATCTAATTATTCCATTTATCAAATAAACCAGCAGGATAGAAACCTCTAATAAGCAGATGAACAATCTCTTAGAGATAAAGAATTACCAACAGTCACACATGTAAATATTGCTGTCTTGGTTCCAATGCCATCATATATATAGCTTGATGTCTATTTTCCACAGTTTATCCTCTGGTCAGCTTTAAAAATGTAAAATAAAATAATAACAATGAATAAAATAAAATAATTATTTTAAAAAGTATTTAAAGTACTGAAAAAATAAAGTTGAATATTTTAAGGAATATGGAATGATCAAGGGCACTTAAGAAAATGGGGGGGGGGTGTACAGCAGGTGGAATGGTGGTTAAGGCACTGGATTTCCCTTCCTACATGGCCAACCATGGTTCAAGTCCCAGACCTGGCAGCTTGCTTTCTCACTTTCCTCTTTTATCTCTCTCACGCTTTCTTTCCCTGGTGAGCACATGTGCCCTAGAGCAAAATTTAAAAATAACAATAATGATCAAATTAAACAAATAATTCTTTAACAAAAAAGATAAAGGGGAGAAGAGAAAGATCTGAGGAAAAATTTGCAACTTAGTTGTCAAAATGTGTTCATTATACTTGATGCATAGGTTGTATTTGGAAATCACTAAGAACTATCAATAGATAGAAGAAAAAAATGGGCAAAAGACCTGAAAGAGCAAAACAAAAAACATAAATGATCCAAGAACATATAAAATGATGTTCCACTCCTTTAATAATCAAAGAAATCCAAACGTAATGAGATATCATTTATTTACTGGCAAATTGGGAAGATTATAAAACAAGAAACTGCCCAATGCCAGCAAAAGCAGAGACAATTAGCATGTTCACACACTGCTAATATCCCGGTATAATCTGGTGTAGCCTTCTCAAAGATTAATTGGTAATATGCAGCAAAATGTTTTAAAAAATGTAAACCTCTTGCTCTAACAATTCCACTTCTAGGAATTTATCCTTTGGGAAACGCATAAAGACATACACAGGATGCTGTTATACATAATCTGAAAAATGTGAAGATAACCTAGACATCTAATTGAAGATTGAATAAATATTAAGACATGCACAAAGAGAAACGGTAATGCTGTTACCAGATATTAAGTTGTTAAAGTATGTTTAATTGATATGGAAATGTATTCATGATATACTATTTTCAAAACAATAAGCCATATGCACAGGTACACGCACACATCCACCCAGAAAAACACCTGTAAGGATGTGGCCTGATGTATAACACTGAGTGGTGGGACAATTTTAATATTTTTTAATGTTTCTCGCTATTTTCTAATTTTTCTTCTATGTATAATTTGTTTACAAATAAGTCTTTAAAACTTTCAAAGAATATAAAATTAATAGTTCTAAACACTTTAACTATTATATGTTTAATAGAATAGAAAGCATACACTGCTAAACTAAAAATTATCTTTAAAAAATTTATTTTAATTCTTATATATTGAGCATAAAACATAACAGAACAATGCACTGAGTCCAGAAACCTAAGTTCTAATTTCGACTCTGCCTGTTACTAAACTGGGGGTCATTATGAAGTCATTTAACCCTTCTTTATCTTAGATTCCACATGCATTAACTGAGGATGACTGTATTAGATCGTTGGGAAAGTCATGATGTATTTTTCTGTTTTTCTATGTGCAAATGCATCATGACTTTCCCAATGACGCAATAAAAATCAAATTTAAATAACAGAGTCAGTCTCATAGCCTGATGGTTAAGGGAAGCTGGATCCCACCTAGCCTACCACAGCTCAAATCCCAACCCCAGTGGCCTGACAAATATTCTGTGCCTGCCCGAAATCTTGACAAGATGGAGATATGGAAGAGAAAGAATTGCAGTGCGACCACACCCTACTAGGGGTGCTTTCTTCCTCTCCCTCTCTCTCTGGTGAGCACACATGCCTTTCGGTAACCAAAGAAAACAAATGAGGAGGAGAAATGTATAGCCATTTTAAAAAAAAACACCAAATGTTATGCTTGAATCACTATATTATTTTTGAGCCCCTAATATTCTACATTAATGATCTAAAAACATTCAGTTATTTGTAATTTAGCACTACATAGCTGAGTAATTATGATCTAATTATTCCATTTATCAAATAAACCAGCAGGATAGAAACCTCTAATAAGCAGATGAACAATCTCTTAGAGATAAAGAATTACCAACAGTCACACATGTAAATATTGCTGTCTTGGTTCCAATGCCATCATATATATAGCTTGATGTCTATTTTCCACAGTTTATCAACAGATTCTATAGAGTTTGTTTTGTGAAGAAATGAATTCACTTCTAGTTTTAATAGTGGGGAAGGTAAGGCAGGACTAATCTCTCTGTGACCTTATTTCCACTCCTTCCTTCCTCTTTCCAATTTCACCCAAAGGACAAAAGACACAAGCACGCGAAGGAGTGAAGATCGCTCTTGACTCCAGCTATGTAGCCATAACACAGAGTTAAGCTACTGAGACCACACCGCTGCCTGCTCTGACTCCCCTAAGCATCTGTGATTTCTGGATGCAACAGAAACAAAGTATTAATGGCAAGCTGGAATTTTTCATTTAAACCAAACTGCTGGCATTCACCTGAGTCAGCACATAATTTATCACTGAGTAAATTACTTATCTTCCCAAACAGGTCATTTCACACCCAACAACCTCAATGATACACTACTAGGGGTGGATTTTCACCCTGTAAGTATCAAAAGTCATTTAGTATGAAAATCTCACCTGGCATTGTCTGTCCATCCCTCACAAATACTAATACTTTGTGATTACCAAACCCAGCTGTTAGCACAAAAACAAGAAAAGGAAAAAAATTAGGAAGGAGCACCAAGAGCAATTTGACAGAAGAGACGAAACAAGGCTATTCTGTCTGTCTGTCTCAGAAAATCTTCCGCCAGGCACTCCAGCAACCTTGGTGTTGATTCTGCACACTTGTGGGAGTTCTACTGTACCATTCTATGGTTGCCTCACTGGAAATGCACTTCCCCCTGTGATGTACAAACCTAGTAACCATTCTCATCAGTCATTGATAATGGGTAAGGACAAAGAAGGAGGGACGAAAGTGGAGCAGGGAATTGCACAAGATAAATTTCAGGATTGCCAAAATGTGCAGTGTGGCTGACATGCCTATGTACAAGATCGGACTGTCAGCAAATTGTTGTCAAATGACTAACTTATGATTCTTAAATACGTTTTCATTAACACATTTTTTTGGCTTTAGCTTTCTAGTTTCCTTCCCGTACGAACTTAATAAAGAACTACTTGAAGGAAGCTTCCTCAAATGGTTGTATACCTCTTCGCTTATCATACAGCGAAAGAAGTGCCAACAAAGTTAAGGCTACTCAGTAACAACTCATCGTCTTCATTTAAGTAACCATCCTGGTTCAGTGGGACCAGTGTTTCGCTGCTAAAAGACAACGAGGCATGGCCAGTGTAATGGGCCAGAACAGAGCTGGCTTTTCTCAGCAGCCCCAGAGACTTGAGGCTCGTGGCTCAGTGTCGCTGAGAAGGCTTCAGAGGGTTTCCCAAATAAGAACTTGCCTTCTGTACTGTGTCTCTGGACATAGCTACAGGAAATGAGTCCCCAGAGAAAAATAAAGGGGCACTACTAACCATTTTACTTCTGTTGCCATAGACAAGAGCCTTCTTAGAACGACCTGCAGCTGGCTTTCACAAGGTGGCGGCTGTTCAGGAGGGGTTTGAAGCTGAGAGGGCATTCTAATGACGTATCTGAAAACGTGACTGCGGCACCCAAGTGGAGACCACACTTGCTGCTATCTGTGCCCCTCTTTTCCCTTCACAAAATGCTGCTCAGAAAGAGCCACCCCAGGCCTCGGGTGGATATGTGGCTGGGAAGATACAATCCAGTCCTTATGTGATACTCCTAAAATCTCTACCAGATTATCAGACAGAAGTCGCCAAGTGTTCCCTCACCTGCCCTTGAATACAGATCACCCAGCAGAGTGCTGGCAGGACAAGTTGTCCATTATCTGCAACCGCACTAGCTGAATGCCAGTATCTGATACTGCCATCTGATGCCGGATTCAGCTCATAGGAGATGCTCATTAAAATAATTTATGAAGCAAAATAAAATGTTTGGGAAGTCAAAACCCATAACCATGGAGAAGGGAAGACATGACTCATCTTCTTAGATCTTTACTTCAGTTTGGTGCTAGTCTTTGAGTTTTTAATCGTGATCACCTTGAATTGGCTTGAATTCTGATTATTTTACTTCACGTTGTTATGTGATATCATACCATGGGGTCAGCAAGACGAAAGAGCATAAATAATATATTCTACAAAAAAAGGAACTAGCCAGAACCAGTTGCTAAGAGTGCTGAAGTGCTGTCGGTCATTAGCATCTGCAGTCTACAACGATCACCCCACAGCTACCCAGTCATACTCTCCTCTGCCTCTTCTTTTTATGCCCTGCTCTATTCTCCTGGTGCCTATATCTTAGATCTACCAGTCAGTAAAACTTGCTCAGCTCCACTGGCCGAAACCTCACAGTGAAAAGACAGACAACCTACTAATTGAAAGCATTGTTTTAATGATGATAATTCTAGAATCCTGGAGCAAAACAAGATTGGAGTTCAGACAGGCTGTGATAAGAAGTACAAGACTGTACATGACATGTATTACACAACGAACTTACCGTTGACATTAACCAATGAGAGAATATTATCTTGATGATCAAGGAGGCGCTTAACTTCACGAATATCCCATTCTAGTGATTCATCTGTGGGTGCTACCAACCTGAAAATTACTAAATGAAAAAGACAGATTTTATTAAAATGTTCAAAAAAGATAAAACATTACTTCTCAATGGGTAAGTATTTGGGGACCAGCAAGTGGTGTGGTGGTTAAGTTGCTAGATTCCCACATGGCCAACAGCAGTTTGAGTCCTGGACCCAGCAGCTTGAAAATCACAACAAATAAACAGATAAATAAATAAATGTTTTAAAAAACACCAAGCATTTTATGTGAAAAAAATATGAGGGGATCTTCCTAAAGTTCATGGAAAATGAACATTTTGAAAAAACTACACATGGATTTAAAAAATGTTCTGCACCAAAATAAACGAGTACTTTAATTCCATTTTTCTAAAACCTTTTTGAAGTTCTCTTGTACCTACAATATTGAAAACCCATCTCAAAGAGAGCCTTATTTATACTACTTGAAAATACTTTGCCACGCCGCAATCCCTTGTCTTCTATTCTCCTCTCAGGATTTTGGGCACACACACACACACACAATCTCCATGTGAGTTTTAAGCCACCAGGTTTGGGACTCGAACCACGGTTGACTATGTGGGAATCCAATGACATAACCATTATGCCATCTGCTAGTCCCTGAAAATACATCTTTCAAATGCTTGGGACATTTGAAATGATCTATTTAATGGGTATATCCCAAGTAAGTGTGTCCTAAGAATTCTCTTCCTTTAATGACTCCTTTAAACCTACCACTGAAGCCTCCATTCTCTCTAGGGCTTTACTCCACATCCAGTCATCCCACTGGACACCCTCCCTCGTGAGTGACTGCCCAACATTCCGGAATCATCTCCACCATCGGCTTTCTCTCCTCATGTTCCCAGGCCAGTACACGCTGCTACAAAATAAGCTGCAAATTGTGCTTAATAACTCAGCTGCTTTTATTTTTAAACTTTTCTTGATACCTAGGCATATATCATTAAATTATAAACCCTCTGAGAATATACCTTATAATTTTTATTTTGTACAATTCTGACCATAGCAGATGCTCAATATGTTATTTTACTCATTTCCTGGCTTTAACAAACACAGTTTTAAACCAGGGTAAATTCTAATTGTAATCAATACAGAAAATTCAAAATCCAATTAATGGAAGTGATTCTATTAACAATTTACTAAACATCTTCTATGTTTTAGGAACTCTAAATACCAAATATGAAAGGGCCCAGTCATTGGTCTGAAAGGCACACTCTAGAATAAGAGTGACACAAGTAGATTTATGATCAATGTAGTAAGTGCTTTAATAAGTTACTGGACTAAGTAATGAGGATGTTCAAAGACCGGAATAACTAACATCCGAGAAATAGCAAATTTCAGAAATCAGGTCCTTTCTAAGTGCTGGTAATTGCTAAAGTCTCTCTTCTTTCTCATATTCCTCCTTGAAAAACAGGTTATATCATATTTCCTTCTATAACTCTTACACTATTTTACCAACATATCTCTAGAAAGGTTATTTAATCCTGACAGCCATTCGTATTCAAACTGTGGTTGTCATAAAAAGGTCTTCAACTTGATACAAAAGAAAGTTCTTCCTGATACTTTGTAAAGTTGTGTAAAAATTCTACTTAACTTACAATACTACCAAATTATCTTGTGATTGGGAGTTTGGAATACCAAGCAATATAGAGTTTAATCAAACTAATGAAAAAAGCCTTTTTTGGGACCAGCAGTTAGCGTAATGGCTATGTCGCTGGACTCCCATGTAATCGACCATGGTTCGAGTCCCGGACCCAGTGGCCCAAGATCCCGAGAGGAGAATGGAGGAGAAGGGATGGCAATGTGGCCATCTCCCCTGGGGGGTGATTTCTCGCTTTCTATCTCTCTGTCTATCTCTGTCTTTCTGGCGAGCACATGCACCCTATAGCAAAAACCTCTCCAAAAAAAAAAAAAAAAAAAGAGCCTTTTTTCTACTGACAAGAAAAAGAAACCCAACCTAATATTTTTAAAATGTCTTAGCCTCCACATTACTTCAACAATTCCAGGAGGACAAGACTGTGAAAGAGGCAGATGTCTTTTAAATAAAATAATAATAATAATAATAATAATAATAATTAATAAATAAAACACTTTTTTAAAGCATATGTCTACAGGTCTAGTTCAAAATTTTCAAAATAACAAGAAAAATTTAAAAAAATAACATTCTCACTCAGTTCTTTGCCAAGTGCTGCTACAACGCAGTCCTTAGGTATTTCAATCAAAGCACTGATCCCTTCAGAAACATATGCAACAAATTTCAAAATTTTGTTCATAGGTTATATCAAAAACAAAAACATTCGTAGTTTTGTGTCAGTCATTTCCCATCCAGGTGTGTTTGCATGGGGGGACAATAAAGCTGTGTGTATGCTGCAATTTGCAATTTGCATACACACTTCGATTGCTTTAAATGTGGAAAATTATTTCATGAAAAGTAGGTTTCTGACACCTTTGGAAGACATTATTGGTTTATTAAAGGTAAAATATATTCTTTGAACATCTTTACTACTGTGGGAAAGTGGTATATTCAGCCTTTCAAACTTATTTACCAAGGATCTCATAAGATAATCACCATCACCCATTTACAAGTTGGCAAGCTCAAATGAAAGATAAAATTGGGGTTTTACTCAGTATATACTTAAGTCTAAACAAGCTCCTGACACTAAATGAGTTAGACAATAGTCAACAGTTAAGAAAGTGGCCTTTGAATAGATAGATATGATCAATTAGTATAGTCACAAAATTTATTAAAGTATTGAAATATTTAGATACAATATTCTGCCATATTTCATGTATTCATCTAAGTATGGGGTTCTTAAAATCTTTTCATAGTTGAGTCATTAAATTCTTTTACAGTACCCACAACTCTGTAAGATATGTTATAAACATTATTTTTATCACCAAGAGTTAAAGAACTGATGTATTAGAACCATTAGATGCATTAGCAAAAGACCTGTTTATTAAAGTTAATTTCCCTATTATGATACATAAGTAATATTTGTGCAATTTATAATATATATGCAAATTTGGAAAAGGTTTTACTTATTTGATTATCCTTCCCATCCATCAAAGGACTAGTACTGTTGTGATTTAAGAATATTTCTGGCCAAAATTTTTTCCCACATAAACCTGTCTTAACAGTATGTTTTATATTTCCCCATGGGAAAGAGTGGTGCAGGAGAAGGTGGAGGAGTGAGTGGCACAAGAGGAGGTGAAGGACATAGGAGAATAGGAACAATGGGTAGCAAGGGAATTCTAAATGTAAAAAAATAGCTTGTTAAGAAAAAATGTTCAAGTTATTTGTAAGGTGGAAATATTAGAAACCCAACAACCCAGGCCATTTGCTGGGAAGGGCATGGATGTCCACCCTTCTAGTTCAAGGCTCTTTACATTGTATCATAATGACTGAGATCACCTTGCCTATTTCCCAGTCTGAAATACCTGTCCTTGGAAGCCCTGCCAACCCATACATTAAACAGGGATTATAAAAGGACATCATGAGATTGGGGTCTAGTAGCACTACCAACTACCTGGCATCCTGTAATCTGAAAAATTCAAATCACAAAAAAGTCTACCAAGGTTAACCTATGATCTTTTTAGACCTTTCCAGAAGATTCCCTCAAAGGCGAACTGTTCTCAAGATATTGCTAACCAGGGCAATACTGTGATTATTTAATGTATAATACTCAGAGACACCTTATAAAAGAAAACAGACTGTAGTAATGAGTGGTTAATTCTATTAACATATAAAAGATTCTTCTTGGTCTCATTGAGCACTTCACAAAAAGCCACTAATAATTCCTGGAGTAAAATCACTTATAACCATAGGCCACTGAAAGAAAGAGAAGAAAATGAGCAGGTAAATAGAGATATAACTCATAACAGGAAACAGTGAAATAGACCCTACATTGTAGATCCTAGCAGTAGATCTATATTTACATATGTAAATATAAATGAATACATTTAAATGTTTTTACTATGGAAATGGATTTGAATTTAAACAAAGTTTTGAGAAAATAGAACTTTGTTAAGTAAGTTGTACATGTATAAAATTATTTTAGAGATTTTTGCCATAGGGCATATGCACCTACCATAGAGAGAGAGACAGAGACAGACAGAGACAGTGAAAAGGAAAGTGAGAAATCACCTGCCAGGGGGATGGCCACACTGCAATCCCTTCTCCTCCAATCTCTTCCCTGGGATCTTTGGCATGCACATACACACACCCATCGTGATTTTCAAGCCACCAGGTCCAGGACTCAAACCATGGCTGGCCATGTGGGAGTCCAGCAACATAACTACCATGCTATCTGCTGATGCCATGTATGAAATTTTTATAAATTTTTGTAAAATTTTAAAAATAAATTTTAATAAAACCAAAGATAAAAAATGGAATCGATTTTACTTAAAAAAAAAAAGTAAGATAATTTTTAGTACTCTATCCAAAGTTTAAAAAACAGAATTTAAAAAACAGAGAGCGAGAGAGAGAAATGCTATTATAATGCTAAACCGCTTCCAGGTGTCAATGTGCTCATACAGCTTAGTTCAGAAACATAGCCCGAGACAATATATGAAAAAGTTGTTCTTGACCACGTTTGAGAAATCCTGTTGGAAGGGAAGGAAAAACCAAAAAGCAGTGGGGGAAGTCTCCCAATTCAGGATTAAAATATATTTTACACACTCTTTGGTCTGAATTGAATATCACAGACACATGTTATCTTCCTAATTAAAAAGAAAAAATAAAAATTCCCTACATTGACCTTTGTATTCATGGAACACCTCTGAAGATTCCCTGTGTCTTTCAGAGTCTGCCAATCATTGACCATAATTACCCTGGTTTGTTTTTTACCTGTATCAGAAAGGTGACAAGTTTTACACAGAAGATCTAATTTTCTGTTCCACACACATACTTCGTTCCCACCAGAGAGCCAAACATCTAGTCTCTGAAGAATGGTTAAACACTGCAAAATTGATTTGAAATGAGTATCAGTTTAGAAACTCAAGTATTCACTTCTCAGCAGTTTTAAAATGCATCCACAGTTCTCCAAAAGCCCTCCATTCAAGAGGTGGAGCTTATTTCTCCTTCCCTTGAATGTGGGTTCTACTCAGTGACTAACTCCTAAAGAATAAAATGTGGCAGAGGGATGGTACTGACTGACAATTATGTCATAATGGACAGCGCGTTCTCCTCCTCCTCCCTTCTTGGACCATTTGCTCAAAGTGAAGACACTCAAGCAGCTGCACGGAGAACGGAGAATGGTCTGCACGGCAAGGGGCTGAGGCCTCAGCATCAACTAGCACTAACTTGCCAAGCATGTGCACCCTTGGGAGGCAGATCCTTCTTCCCTAGTCAAACCTTCAGATGACAACTTCATGAGACCCTGAACTAGAACCCCCGCAGCTAAAGTGGTATCTCTGTCCACAAACAATATGAGATGATAAATTACCATTTTAAGCACCTGAACTTGGCAGTAATTTGCTAATTTGGTAAGATAACTAGCCCTAAATGCTGGACAAAGTGGCACATATCTGTAGTCTCAGCTAACGAAGAGACTAAAACTGAAAGATAGATAGTAATATCCTGTCTTAAAAAACAAAAACAAAGATAATCCACAATGCTTAAAATATGCTTTTTTCTTTTTTCAGGACCAGCAGTTGGCATAATGGCTATGTTGCTGGATTCCCAAGTAGTCAACCACAGTTTGAGTCCCAGACCAGTGGCTTAAACTCACACCGTGTGTGTGTGTGTGTGTGTGTGTGTGTGTGTGTGTGTGTGCCTAAGATCCTGAGAGGAGAATGGAGGAGAAGGGATTGTGGCATGACCATCCCCCGGGGGGTGATTTCTCGCTTTCTGTCTGTCTGTCTGTCTTTCAATGGTGAGCACTATGTGCTTTATAGCAAAACCCTCTCAAATATACACACATATATATATATTTTTTTGTCTTTCTTTTTTATGACAGGGTCTTTCAATAACATAATCCTCTTGTCTCAGCATCTGGAATAGCTAGGACTATAGGGGTGCTCCCCTACCCAGCTCTTTTTTTGAACAGGGCTTTCTTGCTTGCTATGTTGTCCAGGCCAGCTGCAAGGTTTCTCAAGATCCTTCTGGTGCAGCCTCCCAAATCACTGGGGTTATACCACACTGCTTAACCTTTTGGGTGGGACCCAGAATCAAACCTGGGCCTCTCATGTGGCCCCAACCTGCAGAACACGGCAACTTAGTAGCCTGCGCCACTGCAAGTAGGCCAAACCCCTTTTCCAACAACACCGATAATATAACCTTAGGTTTTATGTAGCCTTTAAGTTAATATCTCCTAATTCTTCTAAATAATTCTATGTTTGGTAGACTTTCCCAAGTATAAGAATAGTTAACTATATATAATTAAAATGAAACTGATTTCATAGTTAGCCTTTTAACATTTTTTATTCCATTCTATATTATATTCTATGTTTAATGCAGCTAGATTGTTGTGAGAATTAGATTTTATACATAAATAATACGCTAAAACTGCTAGCACATAAAAAGTGTTCTTAGAAAACCATCTTTTCTAGCCTTAACCTTACCATGATTCTAGACTCTCCTAAGTCTACCAAACCTAGTGCTTTAAGGACTATAGAAGTCTTTTACTGCCACTGGCACTTTCCAGTTCACTTTTTTTTTTTTTTTAAGAGAGATTTTTGCTATAGGGTTCATGCACTCACTGGACAGAAAGAGAGACAGAAAATGAGAAATCCCCCCCCAGGGGGGATGGCCACTCCATAATCCCTTCTCCTCCGTTCTCTTCTTAGGATTTTGGGCATATACATACAAGCACCTAGCATGAATTTCAAACCTCCAGGTCTGAGATTCAAACTGCAGTAAACCATGTGGGAGTTCAGTGATGTAACCATTATGCCATCTGCTGATCCCTCAAGTTCACTTTTTTTAACAGTAATCTTCTTACCTACTGACTCTGTGTGAGAACAGGGGAAAGAGCAAGAAAGAACAATAATAATAATAAATCCACAAAGGAATTTCATCTAACTTACTGAGTCACTTTTTTCTGAGATAAAAAGTTTACCATGAAAACTTATATTTACTTGAAATTTTACCTTTACTGTAGACTGGAAGCATGACATTCTCTGAACTTGTCTGCCAGAATCACAATCCCATGCCTACATATATGTTAAGAAATAATTTCTAAACAAAATTTTAAAATCTTAATTATGAGCTAACTTTTCTAATTAATAATTGCATCATGAATGTTAAAAATACAGTTAAAAATCTTTAAATAAAACATATTTAGTGTTTATGCTAACAAATATTAATTCATACAATGAGTCATCAACTTAGCTGAGCAGGTTTACAATCTAAAATAGGTTGGAGGTAAATTTTACTATCAAACTATTTGAAAATCCCAACAGAATAAGTGGCCTGAAGTACTAAACCTTTACAGACATTAACTACTATAACCATTTAAAATTCTTCTCCAGAAGTGTACAACATAATCTAATAAACACAAAGCATTTATACTAAAAACTACCACGTGCATTAGTTAGTATTAATTTACTGAAAGCTCCTTGCAGTGTACATGGTATGATTCGCTACTGTTATCTTTACTCGAAGGAGACACTATTGTTCTGTGTACTGTTATCCAGTAGAAAGGTCCCAGACTTACTGTGGTCCAACTTGGGATTTGTCAACTTCATGAAGGTGTAAAAGCCATGCACGTTTAGTAGAAAGTTTACTTCAAGTTTTGGATTCTGATCTAGCCCCAGGCTAGCAACAGGTGGTACATACTCTCCTGTGATGCCTGGCAGGGCAGCACACTGCAGCTCCCAGTCGGCCACACGATCACAACAGTCAACAATTGATACTCTTCTGAGTATACTGAATCCAATAAATGACATGAGATAGTCAACACTTGATTATAAAATGGGCTTTGTGTTACATGATTTCCCTTGAAGTACCTGAGCCCATTTAAGACAGGCTAGGCTAAGCTACAATGTTCAGTAGGTCAGATGTATCAAATACACTTTCAACTTCCGTTATTTTCAACTTATGATGGGTTCATCTGAACATAACTCCATTATAAGTTGAGGAGCATCTGTATGCTATTTAAAATAATTAGGAGACCTCCCATAAAGTTTCCAAGGTTAGTTGACTTAAGGAGCACAATGATTTTACCTTTTATACCATTTCTATGGTATGAAATATATTTTATACTCTATCTGGAAACATATTTATATACACACATACAGGTAAATATGTATATATGTATAATACTATTAAAATGAATATTATAAATACTATTAAAAATGAATACTATGATTACTATTAAAAATGAAACTAATTTCACAAACTAGTTAGCCTTTTGACTTTTTTTATCCCATTCTATATTAAATTCTACTTCATTTTCTATGTAGCTAGACTGTCATAAGAATTAGATTTTATATATAAATAACACACTAAACAAACTACTAGCACATAAAATGTGCTCTCAGAAAACCATCATTTCTAGTCTTAAATTTACCATAATTCTAGTTTATCACAGCCCCCTCACTTATTTCACTGTCTGAAAGCTGAATGTTTAATATTAAGTAACTTGAGCTTTTTTAAGTGAGAAATCAACACCCCCCCCTCAGGGGAAATAGCCACCCTGCAATCCCTTCTCCTCCTGGGATTTTGAAAATGTATGCACACATGCCTAGCATGACATTCAAGCCACCAGGTTCTGGACTTGAACTGCAGTTGGCCATGTGGGAGTCTAGCACTTTAACCACTGTGCCACCTGCTTGCCCCCTAACTTGAGCTCTTAAGGCTATCACTTGACCAAAACAAAACAAAACAAAAATAAAAACAAAATCATTTTTGCTAGAGAAGGAATGTGTAGACATGGCCCTAGAGGCTAGTAACTAATACACAGGTGGCCCCTGGGTATTGCAGCTATTGCACTTGCTTCTAGCTGGAAGGATATGATAACTGTTCTGTCAGCAGAGGCTGTCAAGATGAGTTGATTTTTTTCTTCATAAGATTCCAAGAAAGGAAATGTAATTACAGCTGTTATCTTTTGAGTATGTCCACTGAGTTCCAGAAGTTTCTCTCCTGTCTGAAATACCAATACAAATGTTAGCTACCTTCGATTTAAGTCATCTTAAATGACAACATTAAGAACAATCATGTAGAAAATACACATACATTCCATATAAATTACTTACACTGAAATTATTTAACAAAATGACCAAATAGAATCTAAACAAGAACATAAACAATTTTTCTATAGAAAATGCTAAATTTAGCCATTTTTTTTACAGAAAATTTAAAGGGGTATTCTTCCCAACAGTTTATTTGTTTGTTTAAAGAATGATTTTATTCTTTATTCATCTTTATTTTATAATTTGACGAGAGAGAAAGTGAGAGAGTAAACGACTAGGTCTAGGACTCAAACCACAGTCGGCCATGTGAGAATTCAGCGTCCTTAACCACCACGCCACCTGCAGACCCGTTTATTTGTATTTTGGATTTTGCCATAAGGTGTATGTGCTTGCCAAAGAGGGACAGAGAGAGACAGAGAGAGAAGGAAAGTGAGAAGTCAGCCCCCAAGGGGGATGGTCATGCTGCAATCCCTTCACCTCCATTTTCCTCTTGGGGTTTTGTGTACACACTGGTGATTTTCAGGCCACACAGGTCTGGGACTCAAACCATAGTCAGCCATGTGAGAATTCAGCACTTTAACTGCCAGGCCATCTGTTGGCCCTCTTTCCTACAGTATTAGAACTGTATAAATTAAACATAAAAACAACAGTAACTTAATCTGTAGGGGAAAATACTGGAAGTCCTAGTTATCAAATTACGTGTTATCTAAGTCTCTACATTTACAAGGTCATGTTAGGAAATAAAACAGTATACGTGTGTGTGTCCACTAATTTATCAACCACTTAGAGAGTTAGTCACCATTCCATCTCTATTTATAAACACCAATATCTACTTCTAGCCATCCAATGTCCTCGGCCATCAATCTCTCACTGATTTCCTAAGTAGTAAACACAGAAAAATACAGTGTAAATAGAACACGAATTGCAAATCTTTCTGTGATTGCAGGATTTCATGACTTTAGGAGAAAGCAATGTTAAAGAACTGCTTTAATGATAGGCAGAGCTACTGAAAGATAAGGATTTGATGGAGTCAGGCCAGTAACAAAAATAAGGGAGTGAAGCCCAGCCCTCTGGGAAGCTGAATCCCACATGGTTTGAGTACCAGTCCCAAAGGCTCAGAAAACATGCCAGACACACATGCATGCCCATCCTAAAAGGATGGAAAACTGGAAGAAAAATGACTGCAGCATGCCGAGACACCGCCTGGGGATGCTTTCTCTTTCTACCCGTCCCTTTCTTTCTTGTGTATGTGCATAAATACTCTGGCATAAAAAGAAGAGGGAAGGAGGGGCCAGCAGGTGGCGTGGTGGTTAAGGTCCTGGGACTCCCACAAGGCCGACCACCGTTCAAGTCATGCCTGGCAGCTTGCTTTCTCACTTTCCCTCTTTCTCTCTTACTCATTCTGTCCCTCCCTGGTCAAATTAAATGTAATTAAAAAAATAAAAAGAAGTGGGGAGGGGTAAAAGGAAAATAAATGCTTCAGAAGAGAATGAGGATCAAAAGATTAGAAAGAGAGGCCCGGGAACCAGCAGTTAGCGTAATGGCTATGTTGCTGGACTCCCACGTAGTCGACCGCAGTTCACGTCCCGGACCCGGTGGCTTAAAACTCACGCCGGGCGCGTGTGCGTGCGTGCCCAGGATCCCGAGAGGAGAATGGAGGAGAAGGGATTGCGGCGTGACCATCCCCCCTGGGGGGTGATTTCTCGCTTTCTGTCACTATGTCTCTCTCTGTCTGTCTGGCGAGCGCACGCGCCCTATAGCAAAAATCTCTCCAAAAAAAAAAAAAAAAAAAGAAAGAGAGGCCCTAAAAAATTTGGTACAGGGTTAAGTAGTTTTGAATAAAGTGTGAAAAGAATATTACATTTTCATATAATGTTGAAAGAAGAACTGCACCTCTCACAAAAATCAACACTTGAGTTAATTTTGGAAGTCAATGCATAGGTGCTGATAACCTAAATTCTATTTAATAACATTTGGCATTTGTTTCTGAATAAAATCTCTCTCTCTTTTTTTTTTTTAGAGGTTTTTGCCTTAGGGCACGTGTGCTCACTGGAGAGAGAGAGAGAGAGAGGGAGAGGGACAGAAAGCGAGAAATCATTCCCCAGAAAGAGAGAAATCACCTCCCCAGGGGATGGCCGCACAGCAATTCCTTCTCCTCTGTTCTCCTCCCAGGATCTTGGGTATGCATGCACACGTACCAGGCCTGAGTTTCAAGCCACCAGGTCAAGGACTCAAACCATGATGACCATGTGGGAGTACAACAATATAACTGCTACGCCGTCTGCTGGCCCCTGAGTAAGATATCTTTTAACTAAAAAAACTTGTCTCCTTTATTATATTTGTCCCAATTTTAAATGAATTTATCCTAAGTAGCCCTTTTTCAAGTATTAGTCACAAATAATGACACTGATATGCAGATATATCCCCAGATAGTATTTATGAATGAATACACAACTATATTGTCATATCTTTATTACACAATCCACATATAATCAATACACACCTGGGCATTCCATACAATTACAATTCCATCATCACCAGCAGATGCAAATCTGGTTAGAGAAAAAAATGTCAAGAAAAAAATCACTAGTGGCATTTAATTGCTAAGATTAATTCAGAACAATTAGAATTTATTAGTGGTATTTTGGCTTGCTAATATACTGAAGATTAACATATTTAAGCTAATTTAACAAATATTTATAGAATGTCTCCTAGGTTCTGTGCCATGCACTAAGAATCCAAAAATAAATAAGACACTTTTGGGTTATAAACAGTAACCAGCCAGAAATGTTAAAATGGCAGAGAAACAAAGGTGATCTTTAAAGTCCTTCCTTGCTTTAAAATTCTATGATTTTTTTTTTTTTTGGAGGGAGAGAGGTTTTTGCTATAGGGCACATGCACTCACCAGAAAGACAGAGAGACAGAAAGGGAAAAATCACCCCCCCCAAGGGGGGTGGCCACACTGCAATCCTTTCTCCATTCTCCTCTCGGGATCTTGGGCATACACACACATGCGCCTGGCGTGAGTTTAAGCCACTGGGTCCGGGACTCAAACCTGAGTTGACATAGCTATTGTGCTAACTGCTGGTCCCAAAATTCTATGATTTTAAGAAACTCCTGACTTAAATGAAGTGAATGAAACCAAACTGAGGAGGAGTTACACTGATAGGAAGTGATATTCGAGGAGTGGAAAATAAGGTCCTTAAATAAACTCATTATTTCTAGTATCTTCTCTGCAAAGAGATTATTATTGTGTGTGTGTGTGTGTGTGTGTGTGTGTGTATGTGTGTGTGTGCAAATGGTTAAAATGCAAAGGGGTAAAGGCAAGTTTTTTTCTGGGGCGTGAAGAAAGCGCTATGCTATAGCTTTTCTCTCCTCTTCATCTCCCATTCTCTATAAACAACCATCTCCATTCTGTAGAGTAGAAGATAGCCTCGGCACACTGTCAGGAGCAATGACCTGCCCTCCCGAATCATCATTCTGGTGACTACATTATAATAGGATCAAGAAAGCACACTTCTTAAGCAGTTACCAAACAATGGTGTACAATGTATTGTCAGAGTATGTCCAATAACTTACTATCCATGACATACTACACGAATTGGCAAACGATTTGCAATCATTCATCATCAACTCAAAGTTGTCCCTATAACATCATTTTCACTGACTTGAACTCTTTTTTTTTTTTCAATAGGAGAGAAAACAATTGTGTTACAGAGAGCATCTAACTGGCCCCTGACAGTTAACAATTAATAAATGATATTCCACCATCAACTATGGCATTCAAGAAATTTGTTGTACTTCCCCACAAGACAGTTAGGGGGTCTCACAAAATCTGGTTATTTCTTGGATTGTCTTCACTTAAGTAAACACTATCAGCCATTTGTGTATCTTTGAGGAAAAAGCAGAGAATTGATTAAGTTTGGATAGAGAAATCACTGTTCCTGTACCAGTATCTAATAGGCTGTTTAATTCTATTTATTTATCCATCTATTTCTCCTCAGAGAGAAAAAGAGACAGCACATGAGAGAGAGCGCACCTTTGCTGACACACTCCACCCTTCAGCCAGTCCTGGACCACAGGCAAGTACATACCCGGTGAACTCAGGGAGGTCTCCAGGACTTGAACAGGGAACCTTTCCATGTAGGTATGCCTGGCAAATGTCCCACTTTAACACTACATCATCATCTGCCCCAAGTTCTGATTTTTACTTCTCACAGATTTTACTTACAATCTCAGTACTTCAATCATGTTATATTTTCCTTAAACTCCAAACTGAGCTTCAAGTTCAAATTTCTCATGCTCAGTTACAAAATCCCTACTTAACTGTCTTCTTCATTGGCTCAGATAATTCCCATACTCAGCTCTCATTTCAAAACCCTTTGATTACATCTCTTACTACTAGAGCTACGGAGATGGGAAACTGGGCACATACAGTCTGACAATCTGTTAATAGTTTTTAAATATGGAACTATACATCTTTTTAACAGAAAGGACCTTAAAACTGCTTAGGTAACTAGTCAGAAATACTAAAGGGCTATTTAAAATTTTTTAAATCTGTGCCTATCATTTATTCTTATTTCAAAATATAAGACATGGAAGATCAGGAGATTAAAAACACAATGATGATTTTAAAATTAAAATATAATTTCCTATGCTTAATTACACACATTTTCTGGATCAGAATATTTAACAGTGTCTTGAGTAACAAAAATAGTTACTGGAAGTAAATCTTTCGTAGCTTATGCTGCTGGGCCTATTGATCTCTTTTTATTTGAATAGTGATGGCAGGGAGAGCGGGACTCAAGGTTTTAGGTCTTATTTGGTATAGAACGTCAATTTCTATTGATTCTTTAAACTCTCATAATTGCTTTTCTCCCGTTTAAAAGAATGAAGGCTTAAAATACATAGTTTTTCTAACTCTGATTTTTACCTTTTCATTGTTTTATCATGTTTGAACCTCATGAGTTCACGATGAGAAATGATTGAACAGTTGAGAGTTTAGATATATATATATAGAGCATTTCACCTCAAACTTTAATTCAATCAGTAGTGAGCAAAAAGTTAAATCTAAACAATGCTCAATAGTAATGCATGAAATTACAGCCCATTTTTGTATTGCTCAGAAGTCAATTACCCAGTTGGTAGATTATTCAGGCCTTTCAATTCTCTTACCTACTTTCTATTGCTGCTTTTTCTGTTTTTCTGTCCTTTTCAGTGTTTGCTACTATCACCTCAAAAAAGGAAACATAAAACTTTAAATAACACCAGTATAACTTTACTGCGTATTAGTGCTTCTCACAAAATAGCTAATATAGAGGTGGGAGATCATTCATAAATTATAATTAACCATCATGCTAAGATGGATAACTAAAAACTAGCTGCACTATATCAGTTTATCTTAAACCAAATCCTAGTCAGTCAAGCACACACTCCAGCCATCTCCAAATGAGAAATGAAAACTCATTCCAAAAATTCCTAAGAGTAATATAAACTATAACTGCTGAACAGAAGTAATGGACTAGCCTGGCCGTAGCAGCACAGGCAGTGGGGCAGTATTGCCTATGCTGGAGCCACAAGCAACAGCCTTGGGTTCGGTTACCATGGTAAAACAAATGAAGTGGCCATGCTAGCAGGTGCCTGTGATTCTGGCTGTCTGGAAAGCTGGAGGGAGGACAGCAGGCTGTCAGTGATCCTATTCTCTGTCTCTACCCCAAAATATTAATAAATTTTAAAGTAACGAACTACTAAAAAGCAGTAATTAAAATTCAATAAAGTTTAAGCTATTCAATGGAAGGAAAAACTGACTGCGCCAGCCCCATAGAACAAAGGTTAAGCACTGTGTATGGGAGCCAGAGCCCAAATAGATGATTGCAGTATCCTGGCCCCAGGGGCTTGAGAAACACATCAAGGACATATGCACATGTGCCCCAAATCCTGACAGGATGGAGGAAAAAGGGATGGTAGGAGGACCACCACCCACTAGGGAGTCCTTGCTTTCTTTCTCTTTCTGGTGAGAACAAGCACTCTCTGGCTACTGAAAGAGAGAGAGAGACAGAGAAAGAGAATAGCGATTATACTGCTATATTATTTTATATACTAACTTTTTTCTTTTTAGTTTTGTCAGAAAGTGCATGCACTCACCAGAGAGAAAAAAACGAGAAAGAATCCTTCATGGGGGACAGTCACACTACAAAACCTTCTCTGTCTCTCCCTCCTCTCAGGATTTTGGGCATGCTCCCACATGTGCCCAGACTGATTCTCAAGCCCGGGTCCAAGATTCAAACCATGAAGCTGGCCACATGAGATCCAGCCAACTCAACCACCATGTCATGGTGTGGACCTTATATACTACTGTAATTTTTAAAAACACTCTAATAGAATCCCAAGACTAGCCTAAAGCAAAGATTTCTCAAAGAAATGCTTCTTTACTCATTAGCACAAAATGTACTTACAAAGATTTGATGCTAGGTGTTACAGAAATGCCAAGACGAATTACATATGATCCTTGCCTCGAGATTTTTAAATGTAATGATTATTTAGAAGTAAATTGTATTTCTTCAAATTTGCAATATCAATTATAAGACACTCTCTTACATACCAGTAATACTGTCAGTTATAGGCTTAAAGGCACTGGCAATACTATGTGTCCAAATATTAAAAATGTTAAAATGGGGGGAACCAGCAGTTAGCGTAATGGCTATGTCGCTGGATTCCCACGTAGTCGACCGCGGTTTGTGTCCCGGACCCGGTGGCTTAAAACTCACGCCGGGCGCGTGTGCGTGCGTGCCCAAGATCCCGAGAGGAGAATGGAGGAGAAAGGATTGCGGCGTGACCATCCCCCCTGGGGGGTGATTTCTTGCTTTCTGTCTCTATGTCTCTCTGTCTGTCTGGCGAGCGCACGCGCCCTACAGTGAAAATCTCTCCAAAAAAAAAAAAAAAAAGAGAGAGAAAAAAAATGTTAAAATGGGGAAAAAAATGTTTCTAAGAAATAATAAAATACAGGGCCAGCAGGTGACATGGTGGTTAAAGCTCTAGACTCCCATATAGCCAACTGTGGTTCAAGTCCTGATCTGGCAGC